TGTGTGTGTGTGTGTGTGTGTGTGTGTAATCCAGCCACTCTAACATTTAAATAAGTTATGTTTTCTAGTATTTATATAGCTTAAAAGTATAGTTTCCTCAAATGATGGTGATGGCTGAAGATTAATTTACGCTGGCTTAGGCCGTCATTGGCCACCCCCGACTTAGAGTTGCACTTGGGTTAAAAAATCTGACCTGACCCGACCCCAGCCCACAGCCATCATCTCCAAACCCCACTCGATTCGACGAATTAACATTAATTACAGGTCTTAACCTGAAAAAAAACCCTGACATTTTTAATTAAACTTTGACTGCTTATACCACGACTATTAACGGTTGGCGGACACGTGCAGCTGAGTAAAGGGGGAAGAAGATCAAAGTTGAGGAGCCGTCAAAGCACATTAAATGCTTCCCCTGCTTCTGCCTGCATTGGACCCTACTCTGACATGTCGGATATTTTGTGATCTCACTTGTTTGGGTCGTCGGCCACGTGCGGTGTGCCCGCTGAGTGCTGCGGCTGAAAGAACGTCCATTTGGGCTGATGGATCACTGGCAGTAATCCATCAGAAGCTTAACTAAACTTTTTACCTCTTTCAACCGGCCGGTCAGCGCGTGGTCAAATGGCCGCATGCTGCTTGTAATTGTGTGGCAAGCCATGTTGGCATATATTTGGATCGTCGGCTGCACGCGTGCGTCCCTGACGCAATCAAAAGCCAGACACCGACCCGGCACACACATTAAGCACATGCTTATGGCCCGGCCCGGTCCGAATCCAGGTCGGGCCAGGCTGGGCTCCGGGTTTGAGTAAATGACAGATCTACCCTGGCTCCATCATTGTGCCTGGTCTGGTGATGGATAAAATTGCTCCCACTCTAACAGATCACGTGATTTCTTACATGAGATTGTGCTAAATTTTTCATTTTTTCATGTGTGACTAAAATGGCTACAACTCTGTCCCTTTCCCTGTGGTATAAAAGGTTTTGGAAGATAAGCATTCTTTTGAAGGAATGCTAGGACTTTATTTCAGATGTCTCTTCACACATAAACCGCTTTGATTGGATGCTCGTCCCTAAAGCATCCAAAAGAAGAACAATATCCTTACCTCAAACATATGACAGAGTTCTTCATAGTTGATTGTGCTGTTCTCAGCTTCATAATGATATATCCAGCAGCTACCATAAGGGGTTGCCAGCATGATCACGGTAAAGATGATGTTAATGATGGAAGCTACACACGCCACGATCTGCATCCCCAAACAGGCCCTCAACTGGAACCGAGACAATGAGAAAAATGGCATGATAATAAATCATATTTTGATAATTCAAGTTTCTTTTTGTAACAAATCACTTTGTAACTGTGAATTCTTCTAAAGTATTGAGATCCATTTTACTTCTGTACGATTTTTGGCACGTAATTCATTACGCAACATTTGTCTTATTTCAAACGTTATCCAGACGTTCAGCTCAACCAGGACATTCCTGCATGCTAAAACTTTTAGTCATAACTGTTCATGAAAAAAGGAAGACAAGGCAAACTCGTGTTCAGATGGTGAAATAAAAATTAGTTTCACTTCACTCTGTTTCCTCAGCAGCTGCTTCCTGACAAACATCTGTTTTTCTGTTGCACAACGCCAGGCTGCTGCAGGAACTGTCTCATAAATCAAATTCTTTTTAAGATCTGACTTACAGTTTTTACAGTGACTGAGGCTTTCAATCATTCTGTTTATTTTGCCCCCCCCAGTTTAAATTATTACAAAGGGGAGGCTGGATTTTTGTCTGCAGTGACATGAATAAACATTTCTTCAAAAACGTTCCATTATCTTAAACTGTTGTTTAAGTGCTGAGTGCTGCGGCTGAAAGAACGTCCATTTGGGCTGATGGATCACTGGCAGTAATCCATCAGAAGCTTAACTGAACTTTTTACCTCTTTCAACCGGCCGGTCAGCGCGTGGTCAAATTGAGTAACTTACTGAGTAACTTACTTTTGGCAGGTTGAGAGTCTGTGCTGATACAGCCACATGACCGGCTACTACAACCTGAAACAAAAATAAGACAACAAATCTTAGCTTTAACTGCTTACAAGGAACAAAAAGAAATGAGATTTCAATAAAACCTGTCAGTCTTAAGTTATTCTAGAACAAAGGCATGCACTGTAAACATATGGGTCAGTTTGCCACATTTTGCTATATAAATGGTAAATGGACTGTACTTATATAGCACCATCCATTATCTTTACCCGCTTATTCCATTTTGGGTCACGGGGGTCGCTGGTGCCCATGTCCAGCAATCACTGTGCGAGGGGCGGGGTACACCCTGGACGGGTCGCAAGTCCATCACAGGGCCACATAGAGACAAACGAGACAAACAACCATTCACTCTCTCTCTCACACCTAGGGACAATTTAGGGTTACCAATCAGTCTAACATGCATGTTTTTGGTCTGTGGGAGGAAACCGGAGCACCTGGAGAAAACCCACGCATGCATGAAGAGAACATGCAAACTCCACCCAGAAAGGCCCCTGGACCGGGGTTTGAGCCAAGGACCTGCTCGCTGAGAGGCAGCAGCTCTACCAGTTGCGCCACCGTGTTGCCCCTTATATAGCACCTTTCTATCTTATTTCAAGATACTCAAAGTGCTTTCCACTACAATCTGTGCCTCACTTACCCATTCATACAGCACTCTACTAGATCTCTACAAAGCTAATTGAACAAATCATTCTAATGAGACTAATCAGAGCTTTATCACATTCATACACTGACGGGACACACATCAGAGGCTATGAGGAGTTCAGTGTCTTGCCCAGGGACACTTCAGCATGTGACTGCTGGTGGATACGAACCCCCATCTCTCGCATTGGAGGACGACTGCTCTAACCACTCAGCCCAGCCGCCCCATTCAAAATGATAGTTCAAATATTTGATGAGGGGTTATCTGGATGCAAAATGAGCACTTAATATCTTATATGTTGTAGATAGATTTTTGAGTGACCTCGTTTTCAAGAAATAAAACTTTTGTCCAACAGAATTCACGAGTTAGTGGCTAGTCTGAACACAGTTAATATCAAAAACATTTATAATCTCTAAGAATTTGTAGCCATTCATGGGAAGTAATAATATTTAAACTTTTACACTACTGTCAGTTTAACATTAAATGGTCATTTCAGCTAAAATATTATTAAATTGACACAGGAAGTGACCCTAAGCAGCATTTAAAGTATTTAATATGGGTGATTTTTTTTCTGAGATGTTTTGTCCTTCATCCAAAGGACTTATTCAATCTGAGGAGACATGAAACTGATTTCCACAAACAGCATACACCATAGTGAAAGAAAAACAGTTTGCTGGTGATAAGATGGCCTCCAGGGCCAACCTTCTCACCTGTCAACTCCTCTGAGACAGTCATGCCAAAGTGGTTCAAAACCATCACAGAAATCCATTAATGTCTCCTGTTGTTGAGGGATTTGAATGGTAAAAGTTTGTAGTTTTGGAGATTAGTGTTTTTTCTGGACTGGAATTGAACAAAGGACATAAACCTCAGTGTTTTTGGTTGAAGATATTCAAGATGGTAAGAGTTACACTGAAGAATGGAGGGAGTTTTTAATTATTATTTTTTTGTTTTTGTCTGAGGCAGCACAGATTGATGGATCCTTGTGAGTAGAGGGAGCAACTTTATCCACCACCAGGCACAGTGGTGGAGCCAGAGGGTGGCCACTTGTGGCCTTGACCACCATAGATTAATCTTCAGCCTCACCATCCAGAGGAAACTTTTTAAAAGTAATACAAAACGTAGAAAGCATAGTTTCCTCAAATGATAGGGATGTCTACTTTACATATATTTACAGTATATGGCAGTGGCCATCTTGGATTTTAATGTGGCAACCCAGTTTTTGATAGTAAGCTCTTTTACTCCTAGATACAACCACACACCATAATGGAAATCAGCAAGTTGCTTATTTTTCAGGTTATCATGCTAACCCGGGCTTAATTTAAGCAGGATCCTGCGGGAACAGGATCTGGGAACTCCGTTTATTTGACAGGGTACGTTCCGGTAACTGCATGGATCCAGTAACTCTCAGGCTTACTAAAAATAAAGTTATGAACAACGTTGGCTGCCGTGAATTAATAAAGCTTATATTAGATATGTAAACCGAAAATAATTACATAAAAACTAATTTTAAAACATAACAAGCTTCCTAATATCACACCAGAGCTGTACTTTGCATTTCCTCTTCTACTCTTAAAAAAATCTCTGCACCAAAAAGTTCACCATCATGGGCAATTTGATTAAAAAACACAAAAATATAATTAAACGTTTTGCACTACGCATAAGTTGCTGCACTTTTGTGAACAAGCTGATGTGTGAATCACTGCAGGAGTTATCTGAACTGCAGAAAGAGATGATGATCTCATAAAACTCTTTGTCGTGCAGTCAGAGTATTTGAAGCCATGTTGGAGCGACCAGGACATTTCTCTGAATTGAGCAAGAGGACTTGAGAGCAACTATTTTCTAAGCCGGTGGCAAAGCATTAATAATTAGGCAGTTTTTTCTAAGTGTGGTCACAAACAGAGTTGCGGTTGTAGTCCCACGGTGGGCGCCTGCCCGACAAAAGACCTATGATAATTTTACTGAGGAGCTGCAGGTGTTTCATCCACAGTATGGCCTGAGGACGCAGGTGTACTCTGTGGACAGGCTGAGGTCAAGTCGCTCTGTCTGCGCATCAACATAGACTGTCCCCACCTTAGATTCACCAAAATATTGAATAAATATTGAATAAATGATGACAGTCTTAAACGGGCCAGTAACATCTGTGATTTTTTAATTATTTTTTGGGCAGTAGTCGGATCCTTGAGCCACCTGTCAATCAATCCAGTAGGCACGTCAGCAACTGACCAATCAGCATCCTGTCCTGAAGTGAACGCCCCTTACCTGCAGAGTTGCAGTGGTGTTGTATTATGAACACTTAGCAGTCAGAGATTTCAATAATAATTGAGTTTACATCTTTTGTTTCAAGGTTCAAGGTAATTTATTGTCATTCACACCACATGTGGTACATGAGGTGGAACGACGTTGTGTACACAGGATCCCAGTTACACCTAACAATAACAAAAATGTAAATTGTAAAAGAAAAAGTAACAAGGACCTAAGATATAAACTAAGAAGCACACTAAACTCTAAAAGTGCAAAACAATATGCCAAACAGGAGCACGAACATGAGTCTGTGCAGGGCCTAATTTGTAAACTTGATGCCAGAACACAAATAGTGGGCGGTCCGGCGTGGGGGTGGGGGGTGGTTTGTGGTGGGGGGGTGTCTGTGGGTTCTCCCCCAGAAAATTTGGAATAACAGAGATGCCATTTCCTGCATTTTGGTGTTTTTCAACAGGTTGTTAAAGATCTATGTTTACCTACATCTGTAAACATTTAATTAAATTGATTAGAAACAGTGTAGTGTGCTAAAACGGCTAGGTTAGCTTCAGAGCTCCACTACAGTCATATTTTAATAACGGGTTCTCTCTTTTTCGAGCTTTACAGATATGTGACAGAGGTACTGTGCGTAGATGGTTTAATCAGTGACATGAGACGTTAATTTTCTTTGACCCATCAAAATAAATGTGGTCATTTATTAACAGAATCAAAATTTAACATCAAAACATTGTACCCTTGATTAGACTGATCTGCTTCTGATTAATAAAACTTGGCACGTTTTACTTAATAAAAACAACAGACATTTCTGAAGATATCTGGATTAATTACTGGCAAGATAGAAGTTTAAAGATGGGAAATGAAGAAGTTTAAATGGAGAGAAAAGATGGATGAGGGAAAGTGTGTTGACTAGGAATGGCACCCTTCATCCGACCCCAGCTCAGCCCCGATACACTCGGTAGTGAAGCGACTCGTTACCTTTGCAGAAGATAGGTCAGCTCCGGTACGGAGTTCCATTTCAACGCTACCTTCAGCGTCTCCGGTCAGGATGGCTGAGAATCATCCGAAGTAGTGACGGTACTCCGTTCAACAAACACGCTCATCTCCCGGGTGAATACACAGCAAGCTGTGAGTCCGTCAGAGGTTCCACTCAGATGTGGAAGACTCCATAGTCCCAACTCGACTCAGAAGACTGAAGACTCAGAGGAACTCAGAAGAGACTCAGAAGAACTCAAAAGACCCAGAGGAACTCCGAGGAACTGACAGTTCCAGGAAGTGTCGACTTTTAAATAGTTCTGCTTCCGGTCACTTTAGTAAGTCCTGATTGGTTGAAGGAACCAACAGGGGTGTGGTTCTAGTGACGTCAAAGGGTTTTTACAAGACGAGAAAACAGCAGAAACGTTTAGGAACAGACAGAGAAATGTTTTGACGAAGTGAGAAACACTGCAGGTGCCAGTTCTCTTGTTTACTGTCTGAGAGCTTTAAAAACACGACAGCTCATTCCAACAACTTGTTTTCGACTGTCTCCGACTTTTGACCGACATCACTCTCTCATTTCAGACAGAAGATCAAAAAATGCATAATTACTTTGTAAAATAGACATTTAACTTGATTTCTAATTTGAATGAGGATTAAAAAAATCATTAATACTGTTTCACAGTTGATTTAAAATGAGTGGTTTGCTTCAACATTTAAAAATGGTATGAACTAAACACACTTTTGATTATCAAGATATTGTAAAATAGTAATGATAATATAAAAAAGAGAGTGTTCTTTCAATTGATTAGTTCAGGATACAATTAGAAAGTCTCTGGATGAGCTAATTTGTATTTCTGGATTCAAATCAATGAAATAACAGTTCCTGTCCCATGAAGGTCTTCAGAGGCAGGTTTTGATCGGAGGCCTAGTTCACTACAGTCCCCCCTTTGGAAATCATCGCCTGTCCATGGGGATGAATTCCAACATGAACTTACGCCTCTGAATATCCTTGAGCTTGATGTAATCCAGCAAGAGGAACACAAAAGTAAAAGAAGGTAATCCCACAACGGTTTAGGTAATTCCACAATGTTGTTGGTAATTCCATAATGTTGCTGGTAATTCCATTGTGGC